CTGGACTTAGGGAAGTATCCTTGTTTACTGATTAACTAGTACAAATAATCTTAGCACTACAACCAACTTGTATCGTATACCTGTACTATTCGACATAGATTCCTGTGAAAAAGTGCCGTTTTCGAAAGTCCTCGGAAAAGCAGGTACTCCTGTGGTAGAGTTAAAGTGATCAGTATTAATTCAATAAGAAATAGTATGAAGATGCCGTAGTTGGGTGTGATGAATTCATCCTCTGTTTCAATAAATACAGGAATTATCAGATTAGTATCAGCGGATAAGGGGAGATACGAAACTTTACGTATGCACGACATTTTCTGCAAAAAAGCGAATTTATTAATTTTTTTAAACACTTTTGAAGTTTTCGAATTTGTCAAGAAATGGGATGACAAAATTTTCCTTTGAAGAAAGCACAATCAAGCTTATACATGAATCACGATACCGATAGTGATCGACTGGTATTCGCTGCTCTTTGAGAAGCTACCCGGTTTTGATAGTTTCTCAGAAGATAAGGGCTGAGTAACAGTAGAGGGTAATGCTGTACCTATGTGCAAAGACATTTAGCAAGTATTTCCTCTGAGATCAACTGGAAAACTTCTTTGGTCAGTTCCCATGATGAGTTCTCCATAATTATGAGAACACCGTTATTATTTATTATTCAATATAGTTACACCATAATTAAAGTATAGACATTTGATTTCATTTGTACAGAAGCCTCCTACTCGTTCTGACAACTTGTCATTCGGAAAATTTTCTTATAATATTTATCGAATGCTCCACACATTCGATTCATTCAAGCTAAAAGATTCCCACTAGTATAAAAAAAGTCGTTCTATACGTTTTACCCAGCTTAATGAGTAGAAAAATTATAAATATATTGAATTTAAAGGGGTTCGGATGGGAAATAAAATTTGTAGAATGGGGGCTCATAGAATGCTCTGTAGCTGAGCTTTCCGCCGTCTGTGAATATGATCTTACAAAAGCAATAAAACGATAAAATTTTTACCCAAGTAAAGAGATTGTTGTATGTTTAGTGAGTGTGTTTAGAGATTTTCATGATTTTTGAACTTGAAAGGAGTGCGGAGTGCGTTGGGAATAGCTGACGCCCATAGAACCTATGGTGGTGTGTTGAAGCATATATAATCATTCACTCATTAGGAGTAACATTGATATCCACTGAAGTGGAAATTTCATAATGAAAAGTAGGCTTTGATGCGTCATCGAAAATTTTGGATTAATTTGAATTTTTTTTCTGAAATCATGCAGAATTGTCCGTCCGGTGTGACTGTCGAGCCTACGAGCCTACATGGTAAACGATAGGAGAGGAAATAAGTATGAAGGGTTGTAAATTGATAGCATTTTCGTTTTTTGCATTTTCCTATCATTGTGAGGATTTATAAGTTTATGAGTTGTTGTCTGCGATTCCTGTTTTAACGTTTTCGTAGGGTAACTTTCAGCGGATCGCTTTTCGAAGCAGGAAAACTGGAAAGTCAAACGAGGCTTAATGTGGGAATGTACCTGGTAATAGTCGGGTATTTACGTTTTTTTCAAGCTACAGACGAAGGAACTTTGTCAAATGCTAGACAATTAGCCTTACAATCACTTTCGACTCAGGTCATCATGGATTTATAGATCGCTGCAATGAACTATCCAAAAAGAGACATTTTCGAAAATTCCGTTAATGTTGTAGTTCAGAAAATTTTAGGGAGCAGAGGAATGAAGAATTCGGAGTCTGGTATTGGGAAAGTACGTGATCCTAATTGTTGCATTTATGGCATATTAATCAGTACTAGAAGTTAATGCGTGTAGACATTGAAGTTCGATAAAATAGAGCTCTGAGAAACCAAGGAAAAGTATTTAATTGCCTGTGTACCAAAGAATGAAGTTTAGGGTTACTTATTCGCTTACCGGAGAGATTTTTTTTATAGTGGAAACGATAGGAGCTTCTATTTTTTTTTTCTTGAAAAATGATGCTGCTGACGTCCGTTTCGAAGCAATGATCCTGCACAACTTCAGAAATCTTTTATATTAGTGGTGTTTACCAGTGGTATTACCAGACGCATTACCAGAGTTCCTTACAGTTGGCAGTTGAATATTTGTGGTCACTAAGTTGTGACAATACACAAAAGGCAAGGCTGGGGTTTATACTGCGCTGGTGATGACAGCACGGTGGCAGTAGGTATGGCATCGAATATATGGTGATCGAACTAATCTCCAATCACTGGATTCAGAACTTATGAAATGGAACATATCAATAGGTAGAAAGTGGTCGCATTTCAGATTTGGCCGATGCTCTCTAGAAGAAGGGCATTAGGGGAGCCTGCATTCGCTTTATGAACATCAAGTGTGTTTGCTGCTTGGGTAGTGGAGCTGATAATAGAGCAATGATATATGCAGCTGACAACGGTTCCTATTTTATCTTTACTAATATCCATTAATATCCATTAATATCCATTAAGTATTAAAAGTTCCATATTGTTCTACAGAAGCTTTTTCAGACGGTACAAGAATTCATGGGCACAGAGAGCGTACTGTGGCCGAGGTACTATCTGACACCACTCACCCTGCACGAGCGCCACCGAATAGATTTACAATATCAGGAACAGGTACTTTTCATTAGTTTTTGCTTCGATTTTTTAAATTTTTGATGTATTTTTGAAATCGTTGACTAGCTGATGAGCAGGGTCTGTGAACCCTTCCTGCTACCTCAGTTCCTCTAAAAAATCCTAGCACGGCCGGGGTGCGCGTACTAACTCAACATAAAGAGTAGCTCCCAAAATACTTTCTATAATAGTTCTTGAATAGCGTGACGTTAAAAAAAGTCTTTACAAATCTATTGATTTATATGTTTGGTGAGTTTCTTGTTTTATGTCAGTCGATTTATTGATTTAATTCGGGCTTACATTTTCCCAACAAAATCTTAGTATCCTGAAGTAATGAAATTCCTGGACCACAAATTAGGAAAGTGAGTACGGGTTTTCTATTATGCTGTTTTTGAGCATGATCTTCGGAAAATTTCAATGTCAACAAAAAAGAAGAGAAGGGAAGAATTCACCAAAATTCTGCATATATTCGATCAATTTGCAACCGACTGGCTTTAAGTTTTGCGGAGAGGTTTTGTCAGCTTCAAGCAGAATATTTGTAGCAGGGTTGACTGAGTTTCACCATCTTGAGTCCCAGTATGGTCGTTGAAAGGCCCTTGATTACTAGTAAACTGATTTTCCTTACGGCATATAGTGAAGAAACGGGCTCATTGTTACATATCGATATGCTGTCACGATCATGTAGGCCTCAGAAACTTACGTTAATCGTGTGCTTACTGTATTTAGGTAATTTTTATCACATTTGAAGCCTCCGAAAATTTGTAACATCTTTGACCCGTTACGTCGCGCGATATCTTGCTTCTATCGGGAATTGAGGAGAACCTTAAGTTATGAAAAAAGAGAATAAAAGTGACCATAACAGCCCATTAAAATTATTTCTTCCGGGTTTTTTCAAAGTTTCAATTGCTCGCTTGGGTAAGTGAAAAGGGAACTGACAGTGAAGTGTTGTGTGGTGTTAAATTAATGATTTGTTTACTTATGACCGGAAGCGAAATCAGAGCAGTAGTTTCGATCTCTACAACTCGACCATAATTTTTGGAACATATACAGTAAACAACAGAACAAATGGAATAGCTACTATAGGGACAGCAGGTAGGAGAGGGAGAGTGTTGGCAGTAGGTCGATCAAGAGGCAGTCGAAAACTCATTGCTGAATGGGGACTGGTCCGCCAACAATAAATCGTAGTGGCCATCGTAGTTTTGAATCAGGCAGATATCTAATGATGTACCGTTTGACATAAGTTTTTTTATGGAAACGTATGAACGGATGACCAGGTGGTTCTACTGTGGAATTAGTTTAGCTGATATTTCAACTCTAAGCAGTTTTGCCCACCTTATTCGTTTTAACCGTTGACCCACCCATCTTAAATTGGCGCGGAACCTGCATGTGTTTTTTTCCCATAATTCTGAATTACGTGACACACAGAGGGTAAGCAAAAGCATGGTAGGGGAGTTCCGTCGGTGTACTGTCCAGTCGGGGTCGCTGGTAGTACTGATGGAATCCTTTACTCTTTATCCTTTACTACGGGAATTTGTTTGAAAGCAACGGCGAAAGATTACAAAAGCTGCGAGTATAATAAGCGGATCAAAGGAATCTTCATTGAACACGGGTTTTTGGCTTTGTTAGTATGTATGTGACCAAAGCTCGCCCAGGCGACTGGGAGTCCCATAAGGTAGAAAGTCGTCAGATTATGATATTTGCATGGTAATCTCAGAGACCTTCTGCATCGTCCTTAAAAAAGTTAGGCGGTGTAGAGTAATATCATTACTGAGATGGCCTTTTTGTTTCGAGTTCATTTCACAATGTGAAAGCTCGTTATGCACAGATTAAGCAACGCTTGGGTGGTAAGGTGTATTTATCGGCTCGAAGATGCAATGTATCCTGGACAGCTGCCTTTTGCTCAGAAAGCATCTGCGTGATGAATGAGAATGAATTGGAGAGCAACCCTATAAATTGTGGTATCGTCCAAAAGCATAACTTATTTTAAATTTATACAAAGATTCTGAGTTCGGTTTTCTATGAATCTTGACCTGAATGTTTTGTAATTTTGGACCCTGCACGAGATTGGTATACGAGTTTTATTGGACAGATATTTCGACAGCTTTGCTTTCGTCCCAGGGATAACAAAGGAAAAAGGAGGAAATCCTCCCGAGAAAGGCCAGTTAGACGAGGAATTCTGGTTCATTTTCATTCCCATGCCCGTCGTAATTGATTGAAGTAGTGATCAGTTGCACCACGATGTTCGTCGATAGCTTGACTGGGCTCATTGAGTTGAATCCGAAGAATACGGCAGAGCTTCAAAGCCAATGGCCATTCTCTTATAGCCTGACGCCATTCGTTGAAGATCAATAGAAAGGCGAAAAAGCCGACAGCAGTCGATCTGAAGGAGTGTGAGTAGAGGTTATAGTTCGCAGTTTTCTTTACAGTGATAAGGAAGTCCAGTTCCTTCGATCATAATAGCTTTTATCTAACTTACAGGGCTACCAATAAGTCCAAAAGGGCTAAACAGAGTTGACGTGCTCTAGGTTGATCGTAATATACTAGTAGAGCAAATCCAAGTAGTCCTATACCAATAAATGTCAGTACAGAGCCGACAGTGAACGCTATCATTACAAGCTGTAAAAGGAGTGATTATACCTATTGGAAAGTACTTGCTGTGCAAACATTCTTGACAGTGCGCTGAATATTTTTGGCATTGTGCCAGCTGCGTGAGAGATATCCTTACGGTTATAATATAAGGCGGTTAACCGCAGGGTGAGGCCTCCGAAGAATTGAAGTCGCTACAATGCACCGTTCTTCCCCTTCTGAGCCAATCAAAACCACTTCCATCCTTGATGTGGCTTTAGTTGGAATTGCTCTGATGAAAGAGTTCTTCAGAGAGGGCTATTCTGTTTCGGCAGGGCACTGTGGCTAGCAAAATTCGATTCTTTTTTGAACTTTCCTTGAAAATAGGGGCAGCAAAGAGGTGCTCGTTCTGTTTCTGATACCCACTAGTTGGCAGTGAGTCCAACTCCACCTCTATATAGAAACTTCACAAGAAATTGTCCAAATCTATGTAATTCCGCAAGCCTGGCTGCTCCCTCCTGCAGGGGTACGGTCAGCAAGTTGCAGCAAGACTTACCCTCATCACTCGTACATTTTCCAGGAGTTGGAATTTAATGCTGAGTGTGTTCTTCGTTTCGCAGTGAACAATTCCAGCTCTTAAGTCATGAAGGCGTAAAACATTCACGCGATAAAGTACCACAAAAATAATAAAGAATATTATTGTCATCACACAATCCGCAATAATGACGTTTTTTATCGGAATAATTCCTGAAAAATATTGGTTGATCATCATCGCTCATCATCGGACTTTTTTTCTATTATTCAGAAGTTTCCTTGATAAACCTGAATCTTCTCACTGAAGTTAAATGACACAGTACACAATACAATGCCATAATACTAGTTCTCCTTGCATTAAAGGCACAGTTCATGATGATTTTGAGATATTTCTTTTTATCCGAAAACCAGCAGTATAGTTTGGGAATAGTCTTTCGGTAGTGAGTAAAGCGAGAGAGTTCGTCAATTTCAAGAAGAATTCGCTCCTCAGTAGTAGGGAAAATAGAGGCTGGACGAGATGAAATGACATGGAAGGGGTATTCGGACGAGATCAATTGTTGCAATTGCGCAAAGAGCTGACTACATCAAGCCAGAACTGTACAAAACTGCCTTCACCGTCGCTGTGGGTCATGACATGCTCCTTGGACTTCCTACATGGGGTCCCTTGTGATCGGTGCGGCTCTACAATGCCGGTGAAACTCGTCCGAGGATAAACACGGTGCAATCTTTGAGCCTCTATAATGTCCTAACTGGGCCGTTTTCAGGCCTAATAGCGCCAGATATGATATACGAAGGGAGCTTGAATTCATCCTATGTCAGAAACCATTTTTATCGTGAACTGTGCCTACAACTATTTGGTTAGTTCTGAGCTTGAAATGATATGCAATTCTCTTCCACCTCTCACAGGTCTGAATTGGCTGTTTACAATCTAGATGAGCTGCAGTGGGAGCACTGCACGATAAATTGGCGATGAAGTAGGTTTTGTCAAAAGACGTGAGCCCTTGTCTGGGGAAATGAGGGAAAATCGCAAAATCAACTCACGAATCATCGTCATAATAGTAACTAGAAATGTAGTTGGCAGAGTGACTGCTAGAATACCAGTGGAAATCCAAAGACGAGGTTTCTTTTCGTAATCATCCACAAAATAGAATGCAAATGTCCGTTCGATTATCACTTCGACGAGAAATACCACTGTTGACATAAGAAAGTATGAACGTATTGTAGATGCGATGAAAAGCAGTATTTTTGAGAAATCGTTTTCATCTGTAAATATCTGTTTCTTCTTAAATTGTCTTATGATTAATCTGTAAATTTACCGTCAAAATGAAACACTCCGACTTGATAGAGATGCGTTGTCAAACGCGATATGATCGCAAAGTAGTTACCGCTCAGATAGACCTGGAAATTTTTTATTTGAATGAGTTGGATTTTGTTCTATGGGGACCTTTGCGCTACTTGTTGTGGGCTCATGTTATACTGCTATTAGTTCTGGTAATGGGAAGGCTAAGGAGGGGCTTGGAAAGGCTTGACGGTGACTGACGCTAGGATCAGACTTGAGTGTGAGAAGGTTTATTGTGTGTAGAGGAAGACAGTGGTGAGGCAGCCAAAAAAGATGATAGGAAAAGAGCTCAGGCAGCGTAGGTACCTTCAGTAGAGTTCTGGATAATCTCTCGACTCCCTCAGAAACACTGAGGCCTCCGCCTCAAACGCTTCCCGAAGGCCTTTGAGTTGGGAAAGCGACAAGGGTGAAGGCTTCATTTTTTTGCGACCGTCGTCTTCAAATGCATGGTCCTAATCGATGATGATACAAGTGCATGGCTCTACCGGGTAAGGTGATTGTCTCATTTTTACTCGAATCGAACCTCGAATTTCTTCTCCTTCCCCAACTGGAGCTCTTAACACTGCTCAGTTAGGAGCAAGCTGGTCTCCACACTTTAGATGGTGCTAGTCGGCAAAACATGGGTGGTAGTAAGCCTTCGACGCCATGCCTGAGAGCCCGACCTTACCTGTGCGATTCGAACAAGGTTCGGATGAAATATAGTGCTTCTTGTAAGGCAGTAGTTATGTAGAAGCACAACCGGCAGGGAGAATACAATAGCGATAAGTTCAATAGCTTGAATTATTGAGAGCATGAAGTGATTAATTAAATACGGACTATCCTCCGTAGGAATGAATGTAGGTGCCATAAAGTATATGTCGCCATATAGATGATACGTGATCGTTTCGAAAAATACCATACCACTCCTCCGGAAAATTATACGGTTTTATCTAGATTAACGACTTTCTCTTTGAAATTGGCCTTATTTGGTAGTTGGCTCAGGAGAGATATAATCTGGCCCTGGGCTCCCATCAAATGAGGGGTCAATATTGGGAGCAGTGGCCTATCAGAATGATGTTGCAGATTAATTTCAAAGTTTGTAAGGCACTGCTTTTCACTCGATCAATAAAACCACCAAATTCTGGAAAAAGATCGAGCGACGTAAGGGGAATCACTGTGAGGGGGAGGGGGGGTCGGGCGCTTTTCTCCCCCATCTAAGTCGGAATAAATAAATCGATTATTCATTAATCAATTTGTTAATTTATTGTTATTTAGAGGTTTTTTTATATTCCAAGAAATATCGTAGAAAATGTAATATCAATAATAAGTGAGGAAAGCCTACCCTATACTGAATTATTCTTTGGAGTAAGCAATTAGTAACACTGATGAAATTCAAGTAATCTTAACAGAAAACCGAGAGTGCCAAAAGAACCCAAAAGTACGATTGAAGTAGTATTTTCTAAATTATTCATGTAAAGCCTTATAAACCTAATAAATACATGAATCTTCGTTGAAGTAATTTACGAGAGCATATCCTTCGGTCTAGTAACTAAAATAGTTTGTATATGAACGGATGGCAGGTGAAAGAACGCGTCATTAATCTGTCACTAAAGATCACCCGCAAAAGTTTCTCACATGCCTTTATTGAGNAACGGCAACCTGGGCACTGATTAGAGTTATTTTCAAGAGCTTACACTGATTGTAACTGCTTAAGAACTATTCTAGGAAGTGAACGAGCCCAATGTTTTTTGTAAGGACTAGATGCAATTCCAGGTTCCACACTGGCTTCCCCTTCTCCCCCTTCATCTTTCCAGCTGTGGAATCATCTATATAATCCTCACAAGCTGTTTGTTTCTAGGTGACTGCCAAGTGCAATGAAGTGAAGGATTAATTCTGAAAAGGGGCATTCCAGATTTGATCCTAAGACAGCAGAAAGCTGCACGTCCTGCATTGAGATCCAGTTTCGTAGACATTCCAAGTTTGTTCTATGGTAGAGCTGAACATTAGTCATCACTAAAAAACTCTGCTAGTGGTTTTGTAGATCCTAAGAGGCAGAAGTGATTTCCCCTATCGCGTTGATGGTAGGCGCAGGAAGCAAACGCGATAAATAGAGTTCGATTACCGTGGATTGTGCTTTTGAATTGAATTCTTAGTTGTAAATGGCCAAGGCGGAGATCTGCTGGCAACCCAACAGTTAGAATTCTGGTGTTTTCACCTGCCCAAAGCGAACCATTGAAGGTATACTCAAGAAAATGAGGCCATTTTAGCAATCAGAATCGATCTCGGCACATTACCTTACTATTACTTTTCTTAAGGCTTCAAGAAACAACCAAAACAAATTTAGCGTACGTTTATACAGGACCATAGATCATTTAAAGCCGGACGAATAGGGTTTGTACGGTATCGTTGTCTACCGAGCCGATTGTTGTCACGTTATTGTACAGCGACAGACTTGGGTTCCGCACTGCTGGCATGTTCCACTAGTCGGACCTTTACTGTAGATGGCATAACCCACACAAGTCCTTACAGTACTTTTGTGCTCTTCAAAGGGTCAGTATTGATATCCGGTTGTTTGACTATTGGCTGTATTGTGGTTGTTTGACTATTGGCTGAAACTGCTGCATTCCGTCCATTCTCGGAGCAGTCATTACAAATCCTCGTCGCGTCGTCGCGACTATATGGCAAGGGCGTAGGGAGCAAATCCCATATCAACTCTCCCTAGCTCTCACTAGATCGCTCGGAGCCGTTCTTCTTGAAGACAGAAGTAGGAGAACTGGAATGCCTCGAATCCCAGTTCTAATACTTCTGTGTCATCAAAGAAAAGGGGAAGAGCTTGATGGAGTGGCGAAGAGATTCGAGCAAGCTGCATGTCGGACGGGTATAGGTCGCCCATACCTCTTGATACGACATACTTTGGAACATCGGCAACTCTTTCAAATCCCAATTTTTCATAAAGACGGATTGCAGGTATATTTCAGGGTAGAGCGTGAGGTAAAGCTGAAATGTCGTCGTTTTGATGAGAGCCTTTGAAAGGCGAATCAATCAGAACTTACTGGTTGACTTCCTTTTTGCGCCAGCCTCGTAGTACATCGTCGCAGCAATTGAGTAGCGATGCCTTTCTTTCTAAAATCTGATGCTACAATTAACGTTGAGATGTAGCAGGCCTCAAAAATGGCCGAAAGAGTTCATCGTGATTGAGGTTATCGATTCGGTACTGAAAATAAATGATGGAACAGCCTTTCTATAATATTAAATTCATCTTTTGTACTTCGTGCTATACAATTGCGCCAACAAGATTATTTTCGCGATTATTAGCGCCTAGGTTTAGCTGAAAATCAATCAATAACCTGATTTGGGTGGAAACCATACCCACCGAATGAGTAGTGAGTGACTTTGTTAGCGGCGATAGCCAGCTAAAATGAGTCGTCATATGGTAATGAGGCACTGCACACCTAGCCTGGCAAGCGATCCATTGTCAGGGATAATTCCTTGCTGTTTGCTTGCTTGAAAAACTAGGCTTATTATTGTTGACAGAGGTCATGACGTAGGCTACTACCTCGCTACTTTGATCACGATCAACTGATGGGGACTAATATCGATTTGTGAGTGATTGAACTAACTGGAAAGCTGTACAAGATACATGTAATGGAGTGAGCTTTCAGAACTTATTTCCCAAAAAATTTTTACAAGGCGGTGTAAGTGATACAAGTAATTCCTTACGACATTCTACCATCATATAGCACTGCGAGCAATCAATTAGAAGCAAAATTACGTGGTCCTGTTTGGAATCATGCTTATAAAGGGGTCGGTGTGCGTTTGTGCTTTTCTAGATCCAGTTTCGGCAAAGGCTATCAAATGCCTGTAGAGGGAAATGGTAATAACTGGTAAACGCAAAAATCGGTGTTAAGAAGCAGGAGCCACTGAGTTCGTTGTTGTCGATACTGCAACAGCGAAGCGATCATTTTTGAAAGCTGTACGGGATGAGGCAAAGTCATGGGCGTTAGGTCCCTCGTTGAGCTGTCAATTTTAGCTCTTATTTTAGTGAATCTGGCACTAAAATTTTTCGGACCGCTACCCTCTCTAAATTTCAGGCAAGTGGTGTGTATTCCCGAGGGTAGGAAAGGTCATGGATACGTCACTGCAAAATTAGTGGGCACCACACGAGAACAACGCAAAGGATGGGTTTCAACGTTGAGCGCACTACATAGACGCTCCAGTCAAGCTGGTTGAGAAATTGATCAAGTATTTTTTGAACTGTGCTGAAAAGCTTGGATTGTATCAGCTGGTTCTTATGCACGACGATGTGTTCGCTCAGGATTCCGATCGGGACATCCTAATGTTGAGTCAAACAAATATCTAGCACTGCACCAGTTGACATAAGTCTTCATGAGAACATATCCTTACTTTATATAAAGCGTTCGCGTCTGTCTGTCCGTCCGTCTGCCTGTCTGTCTGTTTGTACAGAAATTCGTAACTTCTGTCCCCGTGGACCTAGGACGTCCAAATTTGGTATGAATACAGGCGACAGGATGGGAATACATATGGTGGGTGGCAGGACCAGACTCGGACGGGCCCGGGGCGGTGGTGCGCGCCGTGAACGGCACTGGAGAGGTGGTGTCCGCCGTGAACGGCACTGGAGAGGTGGTGTCCGCCGTGAACGGCACTGGAGAGGTGGTGTCCGCCGTGAACGGCACTGGAGAGGTGGTGTCCGCCGTGAACGGCACTGGAGAGGTGGTACGCGCCGTGAACGGACCCGGAGCGGTGACGCCTGCCGTGAACTGCAGCGGAGAGGTGGTGTGCGCCGTGAACGGACGCGGGACGGTAGTGTGCGCCGTGAACGGCACCGGAGCGGTGGTGCCCGCCGTGAACTGCACCGTA